GGTGTGGTTATGCTATATGTATTAATGGTTATGAGTTATGAGATATTGGTTATGTGACTAGTAGTTATGAGATATGTGATGTTGGTTATGATCAAAGTGGTGTGGTTATGAGTAAAAAGGTGTTAATTATAAGATATGTGATTAGTGGTTATGAGATATGTGATGTTGGTTATGATCAAAGTGGTGTGGTTATGAGTAAAAAGGTGTTAATTATAAGATATGTGATTAGTGGTTATGAGATATGTGATGTTGGTTATGACTCAAAGGGACTAGTTATGAGATGTGGTTATGATTTATGTGGGTAGTAGTTATGAGATATGTGATCAATGGTTTTGCGATGTGTGATATTTGTTATGTTTAAAGTGGTGTTGGTTATGAGATATGTGATTATGATTATAAAATATGTGATATTAGTTATGAACAAAATGATGTTGGTTATGAGATGTGGTTATAACTAAGTTATGATCAATTTGATTATAGTTATGAAAAAATATGATTTTAACTCATAACTATAAAAAGTGACCTGTTTAGCAGGTCACTTTTAATGATGTGGCTCAATCCTAGCTATTGATTTTTTATGTGCCATACATTTTTTGAACAAAATGTACTATAGACTTTCCTATGCTGCTGTAGTTTTTTTTTTTTCCGTTGTCGTCTTGATTAAATCCCACCCTGTTCATATAGAATCCGGATCCTCGGCCGCCCTACCCGGCAGCCCCCCAAAACGACGTCGTTTTGGGGGTTTTTTGTTTTTGTTTTTTTTTTTTCTTTTCTTCCTCTTCGTTCTTGCTTTCTCTCTCTTCTTCGCAGAACCAGAGAGGAGGGGAGGGAGGAAGAGAGAGAGGAAGGGGAGGGGAGGTCGTCGAGCTCGCCAGCCGGATTCGCCGAAGACTCGCCGTCGCAGGTCGTCGAGCTCGCCAGCCGTCTGATCGTCGCCCGACCGCCGTCGCCTCCGCCTTCGCCCCGCCTCCGCCTCCTCCTCCTTCTTCCCCACTGGTTATGGCCCCCTCCTTCCCTTCCTCCTCCTCCTTCCTCCCTCGTCCTCTCCTTCCTCCCTCTCTTCCTCTGCGTTTTTTTTTTTTTTGAAAATTTGCCCCCAAAACGACGTCGTTTTGGGGGCTGCCGGGTAGGGCTGCCGAGAATCCGGACTCGTTCATATAGAGTCCCTTGTTCTACGTGTACCTGGTAATTATTGGGCACAAGTCTTTCACGTGGCCTCAAGGGGAGTGGGGGCGGGAATATCTCTTTATATTTGAATTTATGACTTATTAAAAAAAATTAGTAAAAACAAAAATATATAAAAAATATTAAAAAATTAATTTTTTAAAAAGTAAATCTTGAATTACGAAACCAAACAACCTGTAGCTTTTTTATTCAAAATGGGTTTCTGATCATTTTAGAGCTATGGATGGTTACCTTCATTAGTTGTCTGGCTCAACTTGTGCAAGAATGTTGAAGCTCTACTCTTTTTAGGGTCATTAATTCTGTGTTGGGATCCTGGATTTGTAGAAACACAAGAAAAGACAATATGAAAATATAAAATGAATAAACTGTGTGTGGGGGTGGTTATGGATCCACTCAACCCGACTAAACTGATCTAACCTAATTGATTTTGACCGAATGTATGTCTTTCGGTAGATGGATGTGGATGAAATATTTTAAAATTCACGAATACGGTTTAGATAGCGGATCAACCATTCCGCACCTGTATGAATCCGATTTGTTTATAGATGAAGTTCAAGAAAAGAAAAAAAGAAAAAGAAACTGCTAACAAATAACAATATAGAGTACAAATAATAAAATATATACTTTTGTAAAAATGAAAAATAATACCTTAACGTTGTGTTTGGTTTGAGAAGTTGGGAAATGGAAAGAGAAAAGTTGTGTGAAACTAAGTGAAATGTAAGTATATTTTATTTATATTTCACCTAACTTTTTCCTTTTCCTTTTCATTTCCAAATCTCTCATCAAATCTCCCAACTAAAGACATCATAAAAATATGTATGTTTTGTGTCATAGCTTATTATAGACAAATAATATATATATATATATATATATATATTTTAGATTACTAGTTATTGGAGATTGTAAAAATTATGAATTATAATTCAAAAAAAATGCTCAAAATTTGTAAAATCCAAACCGTTAAACCGATCACATCCATCCTCCAACCTGCACAGCCCGCTCAATTCGTATCCTCCAAATCAGTAATCGAATATGGATTGATTTTTTTCTTAATTTTGGACGGATGGCGGATGGAATGCCATTAACCCAACTCGATCCGTGATTATTCCTAACGGTTTGTTATCATTTCCATTTTTCATTTTTCATTTTTTATAAACATAGAAAACTTATTTGATAATTTTTTTAATATATATTTTATTTTAATAGAAGACACTTCTGAAGAAAATTTTAAAATATATATTTTAAATCTTTTGAATTTTTCTTTTTATACAAAAATGAAAACAATGAGTGTTATTAGAGCACTTAATAAAATCTTTAACATATTTATTAATATGTTTGTTAATACCCCCAACATTGTTTATTTTTTGAAAAATTATTGATAAACATAATATATTTTTACATAAAAACTTGTTTACGGTTACAAGTTTTGATAATATGCATTTTGATTTGAAATAAAAAAATTATAAAAGGTTGCACAATATATTTTGGGTAAATTTCACTGACACCCTCTCAGATTTATATTTATTACAGTTCATTCTTTCACATTTGAGAAATTATACTGACTCCTTGTTAATTTAATTTTATGTATGATGATCATCATGGTGAGAAAGAACTGTTATGAAACTTTAAATCTTAAGGAACAATCTGTAATAAAACTTTAATCTCAAGAAAGGGGTGTAATTTTCAAAATGTGAGGAAGAAACTGTAATAAATATAAATTTCAGGGGTGTCAATATAATTTATCCGTATATTTTTGAGTCATGCTAATAATAACTGTATATGAATTAGAAATGTCAAAAACAAAAAAAAAAAATCTCAATACAAAATATTTTCACTTACTTCATACTTTTTGGACATTTCAATTTTAGTACATTTTTTTCCCATTTTTTTAAAATTCATGTATAAAAATTCTGTTGATATAAGCAATTGAAAAAGGACACTAGCAGCAAAGACCTAGGCATGTCACTCACCCTGGATATCTACGGGAAAGCCACACTGACATTGAAATCCAACTTCAGCAAGAACAAGAACAAGAACAAGAAGAACAGCCTCTGCAAAACCCTACCCATAAAGACCCATACCGCACTCACCAATCCTCCTTCATTCCCACTTCATCTGAAAAGGAATTCCCATCATCATCATCACCAAACACCAAAGCATGTAAACCCCAGGAACAATTCCAGAAAACAAACAACCCCCTTTGTGGACACCTTTCATGAAAACAAGGACCTCAAAACCTTACTTGAAAAGCTCAAAAAGAGAGGTTCGGACCCTCTTCAGATACTCAAAGATGATGGGGATTGGACCAAAGATCACTTCTGGGCTGTCCTCAGATTCCTCCTAGAGTCCTCAAGATCCAAGGACGTTCCCCAGGTCACTACTCTCTCTCTCTCTCTCTCTCTCTCTCTGGTAGTGAAATTTTGGTTTTGGGTTTTTAATGATTTCGTTTGATTAATGTTTCTCTTGAATTTTGCAAAAATAGTTGCTGGGTTGTTCTGAGTAAATCAGGAAATACATGTTTGATTTTGATCTATGCGTGGGTTTGTACTGTTCTTTATTTATTTATTTATTCTTTTCTTTTTTATTTCCGGGCTTCGTTGAAAATCTTGGGAAGTTGATTTTGGGTTTCTCTAAGTTTGGTGTTGTCGTCATTTGGAGGTCAATTCTCTGTTTGGTTGCAAGGAAACTGGGGAAAAAGAAGGAAAACGAAAACTTGAATCTCGGGATCAATTTGTTTGGTTTCTAGTAAGTGCCAAAAAAAGAAAAGAAGAAAAAGCATCTCAATTAACCCTAGTATGACTTTGTTTCCTCTTATTATGTCATATTTCTGGGTGGACAATTGAAAAAGTTACAATCTTGTGTGTGTGTGTGTGTGTGTGTGTGTGTGTGTGTGTGTATTTTGTTGGGATTCTTAGCATGGAATTGAAGTCTCAAAGTACATGTGGGCAGGTTTTTGATTGGTGGAAGAACATTGAGAAATCACGGATTAATCTATTTAACTACGAAAAGATTATAGGGTTACTAGTTGAGGAGGGACTAATTGAAGAAGCAATATCAGCACTTAAAGAATTGATGGGTCATGGGCTTAGACCTTCTTCGGAGATCTATAATTCCATAATTCACGGTTTTGCTAGGAAAGGGAGGTTCAAAGATGCTTTGTATTATCTCAAGAAGATGGAGGAAATCGATTTGAAGCCAGATACGGAGACCTATGATGGGCTCATTCAAGCATATGGGAAATATAGAATGTACGATGAGATGGATTGTTGTGTGAAAAAGATGGAAGTGGATGGGTGTCCACTGGACCACATTACTTATAATTTGCTAATCCAAGAGTTTTCACGAGCTGGATTGCTGACAAGAATGGAAAAACTATATCAAATTCTCATATCAAAAAGAATGGATTTGCAATCTTCTACATTGGTTGCAATGCTCGAGGCATATGCCAACTTGGGGATCTTGGGCAAGATGGAGAAGTTTTACAGAAAGGTTTTGAACTCCAAAACTTTCTTAAAGGATGATTTGATTCGGAAATTGGCTAGGGTTTATATTCTGAACCACATGTTTTCTAGATTGGATGACTTGGGACGTGATCTTTCTTCGAAAACTGGAAAGACTGATCTTGTTTGGTGTTTGCACATGCTTTCACATTCTTTTCTTTTGAGTCGGAAGGGCATGTACTCTGTTCTTCAAGAGATGGAATTAGAAAATTTACCTTGGAATGTAACAATCACAAATGTTATCTTGCTAACTTACGTGAAGATGAAAGATTTTAAGAACTTGAAGCTCGTACTCTCTGAAGTAGCAGCTCGACATGTGAAACCTGATATTGTCACCATTGGAGTTGTATTTGATGCGTATAAGATTGGATTTGACGGAATGTGGGCTTTAAATATGTGGAGAAAAATGGGATTTCTTGATGAAGCTGTTGAAATGAACACTGATGCTCTTGTTCTCACTGCATTTGGAAAAGGACATTTCCTAAGAAGTTGTGAAGAGATACACTCATCTCTTGAAACTCAAGCTAGAGAAAGGAGAATATGGACTTATCAACGTCTCATTGATTTGATGGTTAAACACAACAAAAGGCTTTGTCAATTAATGGGAGTTGAACAGAGTTAGGCTATGCATTTTGTATCAGAATCAAAATTAACATGGGATTGATTGATTGTGAGACATCCTCTGAAGGTGGACAAGAAACTTTTGCTGCATTGAAAAGGTGCTATGAGCTAGTCAGTCTTTCGTAGGTGTTTTTAATGGTTTTTTATTTTTTTGAGGGATTCATGGCTACAATGATTAGAAGTTAAGAATGTGTGGTATGATTGTATCTGATATATACACGATTGGATCATGAGGCCATTGAGCCTAATACTAACAATTTGTTGAGTATACTTTTAAGAGCAACTCCCTAATAAATGCCAAGAATACATCTCAAAGAATGCTAAAATGACCTTATTACCAATATATCCATTAATGAAAAGGAGAATATAATTACATCAATATTATAATGCTAACTATATTTTTATAAATTTCAAAAGGATCAATGGAAGTAATCAAATTTTGGCCCTTTTTGATGGCTTCAATTAGAATGGTAGGCAGGTATAAAACTAATCAAATATCTGAGATGGCCCATAATCCTTATCTGCTTCACAAGATTTATGTGATGGAGAATTTACATATTTTGGAAAATAAAAACGCAAATAGAGTACCATAATATTCAAATGGAAGACGATTCACATATGTTGCTTTCCCTTGAAGAGAATTTGGAAAATCTGTATCATCCCTCACCTTCCAACGCCAGTATCTACAGGAATCCGATGAACTCTGTAATGCAATAAAAAACACTACAATATAGGCCCTTTACATGCTGGTCAATCAAGTTTCCATGTCACAGACGAATTAAAATTTTGGGCCTTCAAGTCCTTTCATTCCTGTGTCCCAGAACGAAAAGTTTGGGAGAATCTCATTCAGCGATTGAAAGGAATGGAAGAAAGAGCTCGCAGGTACTATGCAGAACCGATTGCACCAACCAGTGATGAATTTGTGAGAATGATGTTACTTGATGGTTGCTTCATTACCAAGCTAATACTAGAAATGGATAGAAATGATCTCCCCACATTCGTGGAAACTTTTAGAAATGATTCTGTATTTATGAGCAGAACCCGATTGCATTAAATACAACAAGATCTATTATTATTTGAAAACCAGATTCCTTTTTTCGTCCTTGAGATTTTATGGGAAGTGCTACTATACTAAGGTCCCCAACCACTAAATTCTGTGCGTAACAAGTACTCCATTGTCCGAAGTGCTCTGAGTTTCTTTGAAAACATATTACCAATGGAAATCGATATGAGAATGGAGCCTCAAAATTATTCACTGGTGTCGTCATGCTGCTCGAGCCAAGACATCTGCTTGAATTAGTGTTGCTCACTGCATTTTCTCATCCAGGGTGGAACGAATATTGTAGCTTGAGCAATTATACCGTGAGAAATGTGTCTGAGCTAGCTTTTTATGGAATCGAGCTCAAACCCAACAAGCAAGCCAATTCTTGCTTGGCAGATGTGAGGTTCTCTAATGGGTTGCTCACAATCCCACCTCTGGTAATTCAAGAATCAACAACCTCTCTTTTTATGAATCTTTTCGCTTTGGTGCAGTGCCCTTCTAGTGCTGTTCATATCTTCGCATCCTACCTCATGTTGATAGATACATAATACATTCGTTGACCCTGAAAACGATGTTGAAACTATTTCTTAAAGCAGGAGTCTTGATTGAATAAGCAATGCAAATCTCTCCGCGCTCGATGGTGTGCTAATTTCATGCATTATTATGAGTCAAGATGAGATATCCTCAACAGATATTTTTTAAAAGTAGAACATAGTTATGATTTTAAGAATAAATTAGTATTTATTTGTTTACAATGGACAAAATTTCGGGTATATAATTACTCATATTTCATTATCTTGATTTTTTTGAATATGAATAGGTTTTAAAAGAGTTAATTATTGACAGATCTTGTTACAATAAGAATCTGTATACCATTAAGTTTTATAAGTGTTTATATAGATCAAAAAAACCTTAAAAATTAATAATTAATAACGTTTTCTAAATCTGTCGCTAAAAATAATAATTAGTGACGTTTTTCTATAACGAATTTTTTAAACTATCATCAAAAACTAATAATTAGTGATACTTTTTATAAATATTATACTTTTTAAGTGTATTTATGTTAGGTGTATCTAAAAATTAAAAAAAATTACTTAGAATATTAAAAAAAAATTCAGTGAAAATTAAAAAAAAATACGAAAAACAAAAAAATTCAATTATCTGAAAAGTAAATCTTAAAAATTCAAACCAAACAAACTTCACTGTCACCCTAACTATATTTACCACCTTATAATCCCAAAAAGTAAAACCATTTGAATCTCTTTCTCAACCTGTCTCCTTCTATTGAATGTTTCTCTTTATGGTTATGCTCAATGTTCTTTTGATTAAATGTTTTTCTTGTGATGGATTGTTTATTAGCTAGTATTGCTTTCCTAATTTATTTAAAATAGCCAATTCCCAAACGTGATTGTTTGTTCATTTTATTTTGTAGTTAATTTATCTCCCTCCTTGCCCATCCTAAATAGGCTTGAGTTATCTCGGGTTTGAATGGCTGAGAACTAATTCCTGCATACTCTAAATTTAACGACCAGACAAATCTCAAGTGATCCCTTAGGAGAGTCAAACTCAAGATCTTAAATTTTATCTATAAGAACAATCCAAAAATATAATATTAAACATACATAGAAAAATGTTATGGTGCCGTTTGGTAACATTACGTTTTCAGTTTTCTGTTTATATTTACAAAAATTTAAAAAACTCAAATAAAAACTTGTTTGGTAAAATTTTTGATTTATAAATCAATGGTCTTAGTTTATAAATTTGACCAAAAAATGAAAACACAAAAAATATGTTTTTGTTTTGAGTTTGAGTTTTTTTTTTTTTTTAACCACCCAATACTAGCCACCACCACCCCCCACCCACCTGCCACCACTACCCACCACCCG